ATATTATACACTAGTGACTTACCAACAACATAGTGCAGTAAACATAGAGGAAAAAAGGGTATAACCTCTGAATTTTTTGACTGTGCTCCGAATTACATGAAATTTTGGAATTAGGTTCATCTTAACCTCAAGTTTAAAAGTGAAAACAATTCCACCACCCCCCGGGGGGTTGATACCCCTTAATAAATAAGTGGATATTGAGCCGTTTTAATCGCTAGAAAACGTTTTTAATATTGAAGGATATAATTAAAAAATATTCTTTAATACATTTACCTTGCAATAAAATCATTTTCAACCCCGTGAAAACCTGAAAACCCTTCAAACAACCTTAATTGAAAAAAAACACTTAAAAATAAATTTCGGTATGATATAATAAGAATTACGTATAAAGTAAATAATATATTATGCTTTCTAACTTGATTATCGAATTTTTAACTCTTTTTAGACCTTTAAAAACTAACCCTTGATAAAAAATTGTTTGAAAAAATTATTTTGAAATTGAAAGAAAATTAAGAAATTCAAAATGATATAAATGTTATTGCAATTTCTCGAAAATAATTACCATATCCATAATTTGTTCAACTCTTAAAACTATCCTTGAATAAAAACAGTTAATATAACACTAGTACCCAGTATAATATTGTCTAAACTCGTATATTTCTTGTTCTTGTTACTGCAAATTTCAAATCCGTAGCTCATCATTTGGCCGAGATATCATTGAAAATGTGTGAAAGGGCCCCTTTTTTCAAAGTCATTTTTTGTCGCAACGGTGAAAGATATCAAAAAACAAATAACGGGATTATATTCATATCCATGTCTACTATATTTTTAATAACAAATATTGTTTAATAATTATTTTTTAGTGCAGGAAAAAGTGAAAATAATTTTTCGTTTTGAATTTTCGGGTAGTGCGGTTGTTTGGACTAATTTTTAATTAGCATCATTAGAACGGCTATTCAATTTTTTTTAGTGTGCAAAATTTTGTTTTATTTCATGTGGTAGAACAAATTCAAAATTAGAAAAAACCTGAGCAAGTACACGCTCGCGCTCATATAGCACCCGCGTAAGTCGTCTCTCATTCGCAACGACTAGCAACAGCATTGCTCGCCGCGCGTCTTGATAAATTAAAACATTTTTAATAAAACACAATATGTATATACATTTATATTTTGAATAATTATATATTTATATGTATATGTATAATAATAACTATATTTTTATATAATTAAATATATATTATTTATATATTGCACATCATTAATGATTTATCAATTAATTATTACTTATTAATTAATTATTAATTATTATTTATTGATATTAATTATTAATACCACTAATTAAATAAAAAATAGATTGATAAAAAATATACATAATAATAGTATATCGGTATATGATTACTATTCATGCTACAGCGCAACGTATACAAATGCAAGTAGACTAAGTTAGTCATAAATACATATATTAAATAATATCTTGAAGTTTTTTTTAAATTAGATAATATATAAAAATATATTGAATAGAATATCTCAACCTATAAATACTCATAATAATTATTGAACTACTGCACTATTGTGTATCATCCTTAATTAAAATATTTTAAATTTCGCGGCATTATAATTATATATTGTATTGTGGTGATAACTAAATTATATAAAATTGAATTGACACTAAAATATAAGAAAACTGCAAAATCAACTGGTACAAAGGTGTAGAGCACACAAAAATTAAAAAGAGCAATATTTATTTAATAATTATCAAAAACTTCGTGATTAGTTAAATTCCAAAATTATATTAGTTTTATGCTGTCTGTATTTTCTTATCTGATGTGTGGTTTTTGCGGGCAAAATTTCAAATATTTTAATTAAGGATGATACACAATAGTGCAGTAGTTCAATAATTATTATGAGTATTTATAGGTTGAGATATTCTATTCAATATATTCTTATATATTATCTAATTTAAAAAAAACTTTAAGATATTATTTAATATATGTATTTATGACTAACTTAGTCTACTTGCATTTGTATACACTGCGCTGTAGCATGAATAGTAATCATATACCGATATACTATTATTATGTATATTTTTTATCAATCTATTTTTTATTTAATTAGTGGTATTAATAATTAATATCAATAAATAATAATTAATAATTAATATCAATAAATAATAATTAATAATTAATTAATAAGTAATAATTAATTGATAAATCATTAATGATGTGCAATATATAAATAATATATATTTAATTATATAAAAATATAGTTATTATTATACATATACACATAAATATATAATTATTCAAAATATAAATGTATATATATTGTGTTTTATTAAAAATGTTTTAATTTATCAAGACGCGCGGCGAGCAATGCTGTTGCTAGTCGTTACGAATGAGAGACGACTTACGCGGGTGCTATATGAGCGCGAGCGTGTACTTGCTCAGGTTTTTTCTAATTTTGATTTTGTTCTACCACATGAAATAAAACAAAATTTTGCACACTAAAAGAAAATTGAATAGCCGTTCTAATGATGCTAATTAAAAATTAGTCCAAACAACCGCACTACCCGAAAATTCAAAAAGAAAAATTATTTTCACTTTTTCCTGCACTAAAAAATAATTATTAAACAATATTTGTTATTAAAAATATAGTAGACATGGATATGAATATAATCCCGTTATTTGTTTTTTGATATCTTTCACCGTTGCGACAAAAAATGACTTTGAAAAAAGGGGCCCCTTTCACACATTTTCAATGATATCTCGGCCAAATGATGAGCTACGGATTTGAAATTTGGTATATCGGATTTTCTCGAAAATACCTATAAAATGGCATCAAAATTATTTAAATACCAGGGTGGGGCCAATTCTGTATGGAAACACGCCCATACCCTTTTTAAAAATGGATGGCAGCGCATGTGCAATATTAAAATTAACCCCTGATATCACTTCTAAATTTATACGTATCGTATACAGCCTAAAAAACCTGAATAATTTTTAATATTGGAAATAAGAACAAATCATACGAAATGCAAAATATATATATTTTCAAAGATATTACATATGTTTAAAGAACAATTAAAATTATGTTTATATTAACAATTATAATTACAGTTATGGAATGTTTAAAAATATAATAATTATTATACATAATTATAAGTATTATAATACCATAATTATGAATAAATCATATCTCAAAAACTAAAGATCTAAGTGTAGAAAACCACATAAGTATTTAACTAAACTAAGCAGAAATAACTGACTCATTAATTACTTAATGACTAATATTAATATATTAAAAACTTAAAAACTAAGAAGAAACTAAAAGCACAAGAGCACACAATGAAATGACAAATTTAGAAGGAATGATAAATAATACAAAAATTCAAAAAGTTAAAAAGAACAGATAATTTGTTAAAAAGTACAAATACTTTACAAACAGAAATCAAAATTCCTAGGATTAAAACACATTTACGAAACATTGTTATTCATTAATTCTGCATTTAATAGTTATTTTGCTATCTAATGAATTAATAGAAAAGTTGCATTTAACGAAACCTTTGAATAGTTACTATATGAGTACTTTATAACATTACATTTAACCATGTTTCATCATGAAAACATTATCATTGAATTTGCCATAAAAGATCAACAAAGTGTTTACAATGAACAGAATAATGTTTTATGCATATACAATTGTTTATGAATTGAAAGATAAAAGCAATATTTTTGATTCCCAAGGTCGGTAACAGATATATCTTGAATTTAAAAATTATATTGGGATGCTGCTCAAGTTTTATTTGAAGAATATTATAATACTAATCTGCAATCAAAATACATTAAAATATTATGTATGGTATATACTCGCTTTATAAGTGTTTACATTTGCTAATGTAATAGACAATCTTAGTAAATATAACAATGAACTTACGTTCATGAACATTTAAACCAATACTAAATAACTGTTTTTCAACATCAACAATATGAGATTCAATCCAATCATATAACATTTCTGAAGATGATGATATTTCATCAAACATCAAAACACAGTATCTACTACTAAAACTTTTTAAGAGAAATAGCTCAACCTAAAGTTTTGAATAGACACTCATTAACACCGCTATATTATTGTATCTCTAAATGCAACTTTCTCAATGTTTGAGGACATGGCAAAATAAATATTTGTCTCCAAAAATAGTAGGCCTTTGGAGACTATTTGTACAGACCTAAATTCGGCTGTGAATTTTCTTCCTTTTAAATTTGAACACTTCTTGGAACATTTAATACTCTGTTACAATTTGTTCCTTAAATTTTTGCATTGTTTATGAATTCTTCTTATCGTATCTCCTTGAATAAAATTTTGAAAGCGTCATGCATTCCTTGGATGTCAAAAGCACTCCTGCGCCTTGTTCGTGCATTTTGCAGCAATTTGCAGGTACCTTGATTATATATAATTATTGCTGCAATTATTATAAAAAAATACCTTTTTATTTTACCGGTATTGGAATAGCTGAATATTTTAACCCGCACTGGACACTTTGTTGGGTACTATAAAAACACTTTGCCATATTAAATTTCACTTAAATGTTCACTTAAACACAATTAATTAATTAGAAATAATACGAGTTCACAAAATTATGTTATTCGTACAGCGATCAATTACTTGACAGCTACTTGCACGAACCACGAACAATTTGTAGTTGAAATTGCGCACATATGAGCCATCTGTTTTTAAAAATTGACACTACTCAAGACGAAAACAGTGCTACGCGCATTTGCTCGAAGATAACTCCCCATGCTTGTTTACTTATCTATGCCTCATGCGGTCTTGCATGTGACAATGATTAAATTTGTGGTGTGATTCTTTGCTTAGAGTCATTTCTTCACTTTACTCAAACGGTGGAAGAAAACTGAATATGTAAAGATGGGGCTAATGTCGATGAGCAAACGTCATCATTATCATATTCATATAAATAAAACAGAATCAATTCTAAACAAACATTAAATGGTCTTTGAATTTTGGACTTTACTTTCTTTATTGCGAGCGTATGGTTAGCTAAATTAATCAGTAGTGCTTTGTTGTTGATAACGCAATTACACATTTTAAGTTCTGCATTGTAATTTAAGTTATTGGAAAAATGTCTGCAGCAACTAGAGGTTTTTATTTATTATTTATATTAATTTTACTTTGTAAAGTTCTATTATTATATTATTATTTTATTATATATAAATTTATATTTTGCGTCATGATTGAAGCGATTTTATATTAATAGGTACACAGTAGATTGATTGAGCTATAGATAATGCATATGAAAGAAATTACACAATATACTATTTATGCGTTATTTGCTTATAATATATTAATGACTTTGATTTTCAATGATAATGCAGGTAAATCATATAACAACTGTGAAAAGCAACAATACAGTTTGCCTCGAATCATATTGATTAATGTATACTTAAAAAAGTGATATTGGAAAAGCTATTCATTGTGATATAGCAACAGTTTTATTATTCGAATACAATAATTGACATTAAATATTTCAGATTAACAAAGCCAATTGGTATTGATCTTTTTGAATCATATTTTTTTAATATTTGGTTCTGCACTTATTTAGTCCACATATTATAACGCTATATATTTTTTTGGAAATATATACTAATTAATTTAAATTGTAGCAATAGTATTATAATAATAAAAGTATTATTCTAAAATGAAATATTGTTTAAAGTGATATTATACAGTTGATTTTGATTCATATACTTTTTATATTATTTGTCTTTTAAATGAAGTACTTAAACTAACTTTTTTTAATATTTGTCTCTTCATAACTTTATAATATATATTTTAGCAATGTTAATGACAGTCGTCGCCATTACCTCACAAAATTAATTTTCTGAAATTTACTTGAGCGGTTTGGATGAAAATTTGATATTTTATTGTGAGTGTTGTGATTAAACAATTTTATTAATTTCGATATTATTCAAAAATTAAGTAATATAATATTATTAAACAGTAAATATTTGGAGCAATTGACATTTGATTTGTTTATAACTTCAAACATTTATTTATTTATTTAGAAAATATATACATTTCCCTATTTCAATCAGACAGGTGTGCCTGGTATAAGAGATTATGGATTGGTTTATATATTTATAAATAATCTATATATGGGTGTATATATATATATATATATATATATATATTTTAGCTGACCCGACAGACGTTGTTCTGTACCCACGTCTACAATTTTTCAATAGTTTATACTAATATTTACTGCTTAGTTAAAAATAATAATTACTGTTTTTTGAATTACTATTTACATCAATATATGAGTGATGTTAAATGCAGATCTGCTTCAAATAAAATGATTGTTCTCAATTCCCACAGTTAACACTTTAATTATTCATTTAACAAATATTAAAAAATGTTCAATAAAATTGTATATTAAAAATTATACACTGCCATTTATAGAACAAATTTATTTCCAATATCTCAATTTATTTTATTGCATTTAAGGGTTATATAGTATTTTTAGTCATACCTGTAGATGTGGATGTATAAATGAATGATTTTTTGTTTATTCACGACTAAAACATTGATTTTCCAAATCTATCACACTAAAAATGATCGTCTGCCTTTGTGATTTATGGTCATAGCATAAGATACACATGTTGAAAATTGAAATCTTTTAAAAAGTACAACAAATTCAGAAAGAATTAATATATAGCATTCGCGGCAGAGGTGCAATATCACCTTTTATTTTTCTACCCAAAATAATCGCTTTAATAATGTTGCCTATAATTTTTATAATTTTGTAGCATATTTTAACTGGTTTTTAGTAATTTTAATATCTGAATTACATTTGTTTCTCCAATAAATCAATATACATTATTGCTTAAGTTTTTATTTGAAGTGAATTAATTTGTCAAATCCTGTTCACATGTGCTCTATTCAACTTACGATCAACAAAATTATTGCTCTGTGAACTTTTTTACTGTGCTCCAATTTATTTGATATTTTGGAACAATTTGCACTCCGTCACCATTCACCGCATTAATTGGTTAATCACCGGTCATTGTGAAACGGCGAAGGGTTAAAGGGCTCGAAAGACCTCTGGTTGGACAGCCGCGCAGTCCTTAATTAATACCTCTATCAATATTTGTGTAATGGAAAAATAATAAACAACAATTATTAGTCAGAAAAATACCTCGAATTTTCATATATATATATACTTTTATACGTATTCTTTCAGAGATATTATAATGAGAAATTGTGTGTTTTTTTTAAGGTTTATTTTTTCATGAAATCATGAGTTTTTTGAAAATCGTTTGTACTAAAGTTGTGGTATTTTCTAGAATCCATCAAGATCTTTTAAACTAAGTTATTTCTAGATGGAATACGATTATTTCTAAATTTGGTGGAAATGGCACTGAAAAACTATTTGATTTAAATGAAAAAACATTATATGCGTCTTTTATTTGCATGATAGTTTACTCATTTTACACGCAGAAGTACTCATTTTAAAGCTTATTTTGAGCACTATAAAAACCCATTTTCATATTTAGCCTAATAATGTTCCTAAAACACTATAAAATAGCGATTTATGAAGATTTTAATTGATATAATTTTGTTCATTACATGATTTTTGTTAAAATGTATATTTCTGATGATATTAGCAAAAAATTATGAAAAACGCATAAAAGAAACAAATTTTCAGTAGCCAGTAACTTGAAAAGTATTTGCTTTTTTGAAAAACTATTAAACATTTTTCTCTTATAATTAGTTCTTTTATCGATACCCAACGTTATTTTGAAAAAAGTAAAATTACACCACTGAAAAGAAATGTCATCCACCCGAGAAGTGGTAAAGGAGTCTAAATTGTTTTCACTTCTGAAGAGTAAGATGAACCTAGTTCCAAAATTCCAAACGAATTGGAAAACAGTAAAAAAAGTTCAGACCGAAAGCGCTCCATTGAGTAAATATTCCGTACCCAATGACAAACATATGAATTTTTGACACAATGAAACTTCTAAATAATTTTTTTTGTATTGTGACTTAGTATAGTAAGGCAAAACGACTGCAAATTGAATATTTTTGAGCGCAATCACTTGTGGCTCGTCTTCTTTGCACGAATTCGTACGGCGAATCTGTTCGCAAAGTGCGCAGACAAAATTATTGCAAGCAAAAGCAAGCCACGTGCACATTGAGAACACGATTCGCCATGCGCGTCAAGGTGCGTCCACACCTAACGAACGAACACGAACGAACATAAAAGAACGTACCAGAACGAACGGCAACAGCATAGTGTGGACGCCACGACGATCACGAACGAACATAAACAAACATGGCGAGCAATGTTCCGCAACTTGTCGGTACATCAAAGGGAATTGTTCGTTCATGTTTGAACTCGTATGTGCAGTGTGGACGTCTAAACGAACGCAAACGAACATTTTTGTTTTAATAATTTAATAATAATTTTTTCCTATAATATGGGAGACTAAAGACCCTTTTTATAAAATTATTAGAAAAAAAAACGATGCTTGGGAAAGTGTAGGCAGAACGTTTGGGATGTCAGAAGCTGCAGTAAAGAAGAAATTGCAGTCTTTACAAGTAAATATTAAACTTGTTATCATACATAGACATTCAACATATATGTTGAGGATGAGAGTTTGAAAATTGAGTATAGTTAGGCTCAAGCCTGGAATGTTCAGCTTGCTCCGAATATGAATGCTGAGGAAAGAAAACGACTCAAAATATAATATTAAATACAAAAACTGAGTGAAATTAATTGAATAATTTATTACAGTATATTTACAAAATATACACGAACAGAAATCACACAAAAACCAGTGAAAATGCCGTATGATTAAAGCTTACATTCATATCAATAATAAAACTGACGTTTCACGGAACATCTACGAACAACGAAATTCAAGCGCTCACTGCTCTTAAGCGCTTGTTTAAGTTCGTTTGGAATTTTTCGCGTTCGTTCGTGTTCCTGTTCGTTCTTCTTTGTATTTTCTTGTTCGACATGTTCGTTCGTGTTCGTTCGTTAGGTGTGGACGCACCTTCAGACGCATGCGCAGACTGTCAAACGCATGTTATATTATTTGCATCTAATTTTTGGCATTTGCATTTAATTTAATTTTTGGCACATCTCAGCTGCTTTTCGGCATTACTAATGTAGACATTACATTTTCCTTATTCATAATCATGAATTTATTATATTTTAATATTGCCTTAGCCTATAAGTGAATAGAAATGTTTGGCAAATGACAGTCTTCAATTGTTTTTAATGTCAAACTAAGCTTCAAATATTTTCAAGGGCAAACAATGATAAGCGATTTTTTGTAATTTTTTCCATTTATTTCTACAATCTAACTATATTTCTATGAATCAAAACATTCTAGAAAATTTCCCGAACAAACTTCAGGAAGATTCAAGAAAATCCGAATTATAGTTTAGGAGGATTAATGAAACTTACATTGTTACAGAAGAATTTTATATATAAGATATATATATATATATATATATATATATATATATATATATATATATATTTGTATGATTCTGAATTTGATATTGACATATGTATTAACAAAGTCTAATAATTACTATTTTATTTTTTTCTTTTCACTCCAATTCAATTGTTTTAGTTTTTAATTTTATTTTTAGTTTCCACTGAATGAAGGCTAGTATTATAGCTGAAACGTATGGATTTAAAATAAATTTTTGAAAGAAATTCATGTTTTTTATTGATGTTATGCCCGATTATTAGACTTTGTTAATATATATCTTATATATAAAAATGGATCGCAAAATGTGTTGGTAAGCGCATAACTGAACAACGCCTGGACCAATTTGGGCAATTCTTTTTTTAAAATGATTGTTGCAGTTCAAGGATGGTTCTTACGGCGAGAAAAAAATCAAATAATTGCCGGTAAGACCCTAAAAACAGCCCTTTTCTTTTTCACATACAAACGTTTTCTAACTAAAACGTAGAATCAATTTGAGCTTTGTTGCTATTATATAAAGTTCAAATTAAATTACAAGCACTCACTGTATACTCCTTCTAAACGATTATTCAGATTTTGATAAATCTTTCTGAAGTTTGTTAAGGAAATTTTTCAGGATGTATGTGATTATGAAGTAC